TGTTTGGTGAATGACTAGATTTAGGGTGGATGTGGGATGAAAATGTGGAGGGAGATGTTGGGAAAATTATTGATGAGCCGGATTTAAAAAATCATACTTTATTTTGTGGGATCGAACCACTTTGTCAAAACTATTTAATTGTTGAATGTCTAATTATACTGATAATTGTCTTTCACTGTTAATTCCTTGAGACACTGAATTTAGACTGAATTTAATCAACAGAGGTGATGTACTGAACAAAACGGTGATCTTACAAAGACCGGTGATGTACTTGATTACTAGTGAGCTAATGTGCGATATAAAACTTGTACAGGTGATTTGCCCGAGATAGACTTGTGCGGTGAGAGGCTAAGCCTAAACTGATTCGCGCGTGTTTCGGTGACTTATGACTGATGACCCGAAGGGTCCCGGAGATTTTCGAAGTAGGCCGATGGTCGACCAGAATGTTCTGGAATTTTAGTTGCGTTTCAAACATGGTCTTAACAAAAATTTTGCTATTCTCCAACGTTTTCGAGATATTCAATGAAAAATAAAAAATAGTCTAAATAAAATTGAAAAATTTCCTACTGAATTGTCGGCGGACAATTTCACTTATTATTGTTCAAGATCCCTTTTTTATATCTGAAATTTTACTAATTTTATAATTCCTCTGATGCAAATTGACAAGTCCAGAGGAACAATTTCCTATTTTTTGTTTTGTACCTTCAAAATTTTAATTTTGATGAAAGTTTTCATATGGTTTTTATGCATCTCATATGGAGATTTAATTTAATCTGGAGATTAAATAAATCTGACGATTTAAATAGCTAACTCAACTTGGTGCAACCGGTCCATAATATATAATATTATAATATATTAAATGCATTATAATATTGTAACAGAGAAATAATTTTTTTTTTCTAAATAAAAATTACAAAAATCGAAACTAGCGAAGAATCATTAAATATTTTAAAAAACCTACAATAATTTNGGAACAATTTCCTATTTTTTGTTTTGTACCTTCAAAATTTTAATTTTGATGACAGTTTTCATATGGTTTTTATGCATCTCATATGGAGATTTAATTTAATCTGGAGATTAAATAAATCTGACGATTTAA